TGCCAGCTCGCAAGGGCGGCGCGAGGCGCACGGGACGGGGCGCACGGGACGGGACGCCGCGCTCCCGGGCAGCGGCCTCCGGCGCCCCGCTTGAGCGGGCCTCGTCTTCCGCATCTGCAGCCCCAGGCCTGGGAGCAGGGGAACCTCGGGGCCTTTCCAGCACTACCGATCGGGAAGGCCCGGGCGGCACTGGACCCTCACGTGGGCGGGCGCCCTTGCAGCTTCTCGACCCTTTCGCGTGCCTGACCTCTCCTCTTTCATTGCCCGTTCCTCCCTGCCCCTGATTGGAGCCGGCCTGTTGGCTCTCTGCGCTGGGGTGGGCCGGGGTGGGTGCCCGGCGGCTCTTCCTGCCTCTCCAACAGTTCTTTTCGGTCCCGTCTGGCCTCCTCCTTGCCCCCCAACCCGTACCCCCGCCCAAATCCCAGCCACTAGTTATTTCCTGGAGTTTGCCGAGGGCCCCTGCGCTCAGCCCTTGTCTGCCTGACAAGTGCCTGCGTATCTGTCCTCTCCTGGGGTTGCCTCCTGCTGCCAAGGGCCTCACACTTGGCCTCCCCCAAGGTTCCTGGGTGTGGTTGGCTGGACGTCTGTCCTCGTCGTCGTCGTCATCCCCAACCCCCCACCAGACTTCTCAGACTGTCTACTCTCTTCCTGTCACTCACACCCCTGTCCTGCATGTCCTCATTCCTTCCTGCCTCAATTAATGGCACCACCACCGGCCTGCTCTGCACTGAGGGGTCCAGGGAAGTGCCAGGCTCTATCCCCAGGAGTTAGAATGGTGAAGCCACTGACCAAAAAAAAAAAAAGGAGAAACGTTAGAATCTTTGATTTCAAAATTTCAGAGAGGAAAGGGATTTCTAAATTTGATTTTCAGTAAATGAAGTTTATTTCAAAATCAAGAGAAGGCCAATAGGGTCCGAATGTGAGTTGAGACAGCCATAACCCCTGTAAAAGTTGAGATGGCCCTAACCCCTGTCATGTATCATCCGTGTGGGGGGTGCTGGTAAAAACACCATTTCCTTAAATCTCCAGTAAGTGTATGGGAGTCGGGGATTATTCTGTTGGATAGGGAAGGAGATAGGGGTTTGGAGGGTATGGAATTCAGAGCTAATAAGAGTCCTGCACACTGGCTAGGAATTCAAGATGGCCAGGCTGGGATCGAAGTCACAGCTTATCAGCCCCTGTAATCCAGGCACTCAAAAATGTCATATCCAACATTTTCAGCATTTGCTCCCTTCATCTGCCCCAAAAGCTAAAGGTGTGACCTACAGTCTTACAGTACTGATGATTTTTATCATCACAGACTTTTTATTTTGTAGCAAGTAGAATTGAAACAAAGCCCACTCCCTGTGCCCAGGAGGGTAAAAACGTCAACAGTGACAAAAAATGTCTGCTTGGATTTTAGCAGGACAAGTGCACTTGACTCTGAATGGCTTCAGTCCTAGCTTCCTATATTACTGAGACCTTGACTGAGTCCTCTCTAGCTCCTTCCTTAGCTTTCTAAGCAGGTGGACCTAATCCCTTTAGAACTCTCTGTTCCCTGGGGGTTCTGGGTAAAATAGAGAAATACAGATTAAAACATGTTTCATTTGTTCATTAGAAAATGCCCTATCTGGGTTGGGAATACACAACCCATACTTGACCCTACCAAAGGCCCATTCCACAGAGCTCAGCCCAGATCCAGTGACGGTTCAAGGAAACAATGACAATTTGGCTTCCTGCTCTTACGTTATAGACTTGACAGAGGTAAGTGCTTGGGATATTGTCACATGAACAGAGAAGACGGGCGGGGGCTACCCAGTTGCCAGGGAGTCTTGACTCTGGGAAGCAAAAATTAGGAGGCAAGCTGAATGGACAGAGAGCTCAGTAGATGGCACAGAGCCTTTGCCCATCAGCAGCAACCCCCGGCTCTCCCCATGCCCTACAACACCCCTGATGCCCACAAAAGCCAAGTCCCCCCGTGGCCACGCCCCACACCTAAGGCTCCAGCTTCCAGGGCACCGGCGCCCCGTCCCAGGAGCAGCTACAGCTCAGCACCCTCATGTTGGGCAGGCTGACTACCTGCGGCCTGGGCCTGCCTTCCTCCTCCACGCGGACGCGGACGATCATGGGCAGCGAGGCCGTTTCCGAGGCGATGCACTGCCGAGGCCCCAGAAGCGGCCACTTGAAGGGCAGGGGCTGCCGGCAGGCGCCCACGCACTCGTAGGCCAGGAAGCCGGGGGGCTCCAGGACCCAGTTCTCAGCCCACTTCATCCCCTGCAGGTCGATGTACATCTCCTGGCGGCAGCAGCGGGGGGCCTCCGACCCAGGCACCTCGGGGTCACAATCGCCCTGAGCTCTGCGCGGGCAAGGAGAAGCAGAGGTCAGCGGGGAGGGCCCGGGGCGGGGGGGCCGGGAGGGGCATCTGGGAGGAGCTTTGCCACCCAGCGCTCATTATGTTCAAAACGATAAGGACAGGTCACTACCAACAACCAAACGGTACATCACGAGAGCCCTTAGTCCTGAGACTGAAAGGGACTCTCCTGCGGCCATTCACTCCCATGGCACCCTGAAAAGTCCCACTCGGACTGAGCTGGCCTTGGGAGTGGGGTCCCCCCGTGCGGCCCGGGCGCCTACCCGTAGGCCCCCAGGTCCAGCGTGTGCAGCTCCAGCTGGGGCTCGCCCTGCCTGGCGCCCGCCGGCCCCTGGGAGGCGAAGCGCACAAGCTTGTGGGCGCCCGCGGCCCGCGGGCCCAGGTGCTCCGTCTGCACCGTCACCTGCAGGAGCAGGGGCTGCCGAGGCCGGCTCAGCTGCTGCCAGAAGGTCACGGCCTCGGTCACGTCGAAGGCCTTCCAGCCGCTGTCGTGGAGGGACACCAGCCTGCGACGGGGCGGCGCGGGGACGGGGGCCTGAGCTGGGGGCTGCGGGTTCACCCTGGGGAGCCCCCCTGCCCCCACGCCCGCGCTGGGACCCCCGGCCCGCGCCCCTCCCCTCTCCTCCTCCCGTCTCCTCCCCCCGCGCTGGGACCCCGCCCCCTCCCCCCACTCTAGGACACCTAC